TCTGAAGTGCTCAACCAATATGTGGTCTATGCTTAGTGTTCTGACAACTCTTGGTGCTTTTGCTGCTTTAGCTTTTGTTACCCCACTTTGTTCTTGCTGTCTAATGAGGGAAATTCGAGATGTCTCGAGGCAAAATGCCTCCAAGGCACCAAGAGAGAAGATGGTTTACGAAAAATAAATTAGTAATTTACTTTGAGTGGCATGATTTTGTTCTACTTGATCCTAGGATCCGGAATAATGAAGCACCATGCCTCAAAGGCATGGTAGCATCCTCTATCTACTGAACCTTTATTCATCACCTACTAAATTATATTTGACTAGTGCATCGCACTTTTGTGTAAGCTTCTGTCATAGGTGTGCTTAACAGCACGTTATTGGCTGTGGTTTGTATTTCTTGTCTTAAGTAACTCCATTTTCTTCAACTGTTTATTTTCTTGTGACAACTAGATTCTTTTAAGTGGTCAGTTCTAATGATCATGGTGTTGTTACATGGTTTCTTGCATGGTTCTACTCATGCCTGACTACTCTTGTTGCTGCGTATTAGCATGAAACGGGTCTATGCAAAAATCTACTTCAAGAGTACGCTCAGAAGATGAATTTTGCAATTCCGTTGTATCAGTGCCAAAAAGAGGAAGCGCCAGACAGAATGCCTTGTTTTTCATGTACTGTGGAGATTGGAGGCATTCGATACATTGGAGCTGTAGCAAAAACAAAAAAGGAAGCTGAGATTAAAGCTGCTAGAACTGCACTTTTGGCTCTCCAATCAAGTAGAGATAAATCTGGGAGCTCTCAGTTAACAGTACTTCCATGCAAAAAGAGAGCAGGGGAGCCTGTGAATTCTACTGAGGAGGTTACAAATGTTACAAAGGCAAAGAAAGCTCGAGTCAAAAAGTTGTCGAAGAAAAGATTTAGAGGGAAGAAGGTGGAGCAGGACCAAGTTAATAATACAGGCAGTTCAGATGCATCTGTAGTTCAGGTAACAGATTCTGGAGCTTTGGCTTCCAAACAGGCTACTTCAAATTGTGAGCAAGATCTTGACCTAAGTGAGGACAAAGTAGCATCTCCAGAAGGTGTTTGTCCTCCTTTCAGTACTCATAAATCTCAAAACGAAAATTCAAGAAAAGAAAATTCCGGTATAGGCAACCATAAGACTCCTGATGTGGGAACGTCTGCAATATCTTTTGCAGACACAACTGCCATTGATGAAGAGGTGAATGGGGTAACAGTGGTTACAGAAGTGGCTTCTGTGGTAAGTAATTCTCCCCTTGGTCGGATAGAGGCTTGAATTTTCACAGCTGCTTTCAAAGGAGAGCATCCCAGCAGATGTCGGAGAATTGAGCAACACAGGGGGGCATTTTGAGTGGGTTTTTGCTGCAAGGAAAAGAAAATACAAAGACATAATTTTTAGGCAGAGAGTTTATAAACATGTTGAGAATTTTACTTTAGATAGGTCATCACCAGTGCTGCCCATGGTCTGTCCAATGGTGGTATTTGAGGTACATAGTATATTTTATTTTTGGTCCTCTCCGGGGCTAATTTTCAGCATTCTATGTCTTTATATCTGGAGAGAGTGGGGAACTAAATATGATTTATAACCGCTGTTGTTTGTGTGATGGAATGTATTGAAAAATTATAGTGGATCTTATTAAAATCTTGCCTTGGATGTTCTTTGTTGTTTGGTGTAATACTTTAGAGATATTATTGGATTTAGAGGTGATCTCTATTTTAATTTTATTAAATTAAATACTAAAAATTAATTGTCGTTTGTATATATATATATATATATATATATAATATCCATAAAGTGGTGACTGTTACATTTTTTTTGAGATTTTAATTTATGATTTTTAAGTCTTAACATAAAAATTTTAATCATTACATCATTATATTATTTATTTTATTTTAATGATATGTTGTTATTATTTAGTTATTTTTTATTATTATTTTAATGATTAATTGTTATTAACCGACGAATAAATGATAGCAAAGGTGGATAGTTTAGATAATGATTAAAACAATAATATATGGTTAAATAATACTAAAATAAATTTATATTTGATAAACATTTGTACTTAATTATAACAAATTTATTAGTTTAGAATATTAATTTTTAAATATTAATTAATTATTAATTTATTAGTTTGATTTGAAATTTTTTATTTTGAAAAGTTATTTTTATTTAGCAAGTGACCCGTCCGAATTAAATTTTTATTTTACTATAGTTTATATTTTTTCAATAAAAATTTTTAAAACAAAATTTCTATTTGTAAGATATTTTAGATTTTAAATTGCATTCAGTTTAAAATTATTAAATATTAAATATTATATATTATATTAATATTTTCAATTTACTAATATTAATATTTTTACACTCGAAGAAATTATAAAAATAAACTTACAATAATTCAAAAATTTACTTATCATAAAACATAAATTAAATATTTTCATGTGTATTTTTATTCACATGTATTTTAATTTTATAAACAAATTCCTCTCGCAGTGCAATAAACGTTCATCCGCCCAAAGCAAAAGGGGATAAAAAACTCCCGACTCCGCCACAGTAACCCTCTCTCTATCTCCCTTCATCTGTGCAGGTAACGGGAGAGAGATGCACGGCCGTCCTCGTATAGCCCCAAAACCAGAAGAGGCGGCTGCTTCAGCCGCCAAAGCAGAGAGCTTCGAGCTCTGCAATCTCAGTTCCTTTCGTATCATCGCAATAAAATGTAATCATTTCTCCTTCTCTTTCGCTTCCTTGCAGATTTCTTTGATCCAAATCCCCTTTCTACTAGGTACCGTAGTGAATTTTTAGTATCTCCTAACGTGTACTTGCATGTTGTGTGCGTTGTGGAGTGTGATTCAGTTACACTAAGGAGGCTGTAGAGCTAAGTGGGAAGCTACTAGAGATCAATCCAGAATCCTACACGGCGTGGAATTACAGGAAGCTCGCCTCTGAGCACAATCTTAGGCAGGCCGACTCTGATCCAGACTCGCTCAAGTCGATTCTCGATGAAGAACTAAGAGTGGTGCGTTTATCGTTAATTCATCTGTTGAATGGTCTACATTTCTGTTGTTATTTATTGACGGACATTTTTTTTTTCCCTCCTGTTTGCTTGCCTTGAAAACATTGTCTGGTTCAGTTCCCGATGGAAGTAATTGATGAATCAAATATATACTGTTGATTCTGTAATTAAATTTGAAATGGAAACGAAGTGCTTCGCGTGACTCTTTGACTTGGCTCTTCATCTTTTTGGACTTCATCATTGTAGTTCTCTATGTCACAAACTATACTTTCTTATTCAAGGAATACATGTAGGTGGAGATTGCCTTAAGGCAAAATTTTAAATCCTATAGTGCTTGGCATCATCGGAAGTGGGTTCTAAGCAAGGGGCATTCATCTATAGGTCATGAATTGAGGCTTCTAGATAAGTTCCAGAGGATTGATCCCCGAAACTTTCATGCATGGAACTATCGCAGGTGATAACTAGATCAGAGTTTTCTTTCTCCTTATTATTGTGTGCACGACATTCTTCTTTTACTTGAGTTGATATCTTCCCCCTTGTAGATTTGTAGCCGCATTGATGAAAAGAACAGAACTGGACGAGTTAAAGTACACTGAGGACATGATATTTACCAATTTTAGTAACTATTCTGCATGGCACAATCGCAGGTATGACTATATACCAAATTTAGAAACTATCCCAGGAGAGAACTACAAATCAGAGTTTTAAGCATTAATAAATAAGCTTGTCTTGTTTACTGGTTTCCATAATTATTTCATGACTTACCTGCAGAGGATTAGGAAAATGATGAATAGGTTGAAGTATTAGGCTTAAT